TTTCAAAATAAATGTAAAGACAGAGCCCGAAAGGGGAATAGAGTCGCGTGACAGACACAGTGATGAAGCTGGTATGTGTTTGCAGTACACAAGCCACGGTTAAGACAGCTGACTCTACTGTGATGTGACCCAGTCTCTCTCTCACACACACACACACACATACGATGCGCAAAACTCCGCATTTGAACAGTCAGTAGCAAATACTTAAACTAATAACAAAACAGTAGCTGATTCAGAAGCGCCAGATTGTCATAGCAAAGTCAGAATTACCTCCTCTCCTAGGCTCACGAAACGATCGTTTATAAAATGCATTGCTGTTCTGTTGTAAGTCATCTTAAAGATTCCTAAATGCATCTACTTTTGGAAGGCCAAATAAAGTGCTTTTGCTTTCGCCTAGAAACACACAGCGTCTCCCTGACATGGCTGCTTCAACACTAACTGCGGTTACTGAAACCACGACTTCTTTCTTTGCGTGCACATTTGGGCGCATTATGCAAATATTTCCACATAGTGAGGTAGATATGTGGGGGCGTGTTAGAACGAGCCGTTTTAGGGGGGCGTGGCAGAGTCTTAACTTTTATAAAGAATATCTCTTTGGTTTTGAGACTTTAGTCTTTGCAACTTCAGGGATCTTATCTATGCACAATCAGCTTGTATGACCCCTTTAAATAAAGACTAAAAACAACATATTTTGGCATATTTGTTAAAAAAAACATTGGATGCACTAGACTAGAAGATATAATGTAAAATATTAAAATGTTTTGTTATATATTTTCTTTGCAACATATTTAAATGTTTTGCATAACAATCATTGACTTCCTTGCTCTTAACAGCTAATGTGAGCATCATGGATCTTACCCAACTCACAGTTCTTCCCACTGAAGCGGGCTGGACACCAACAGATGTATGTATTCATACCATCCTCACATTTCCCGCCATTCTGACAGGGAGACGACTGACATTGGTCTCCATCTGAAAAGGAGGAGAGGCCATGATCATGATATTATGAATATATCCTGTAATATAACGTAAGGTAAAATTAACAGACGCTTTATGGACAAATTTGAAAGGACAGAAAGATTTATCATCAGTGTTCTACATGACACAAATATCAGAAACAATATTTATGCTCACCCATGTAAGTGATCCAGAATTTCATCTGAAACAGAGTTTGGAAAGTTTTAAACTCACAAATAGAGTTCTAAAACATTTCTAGGAGATAAAAATGTGCTTATGCAACTCACGGTTTGTTCCTGGTCTTCAAAAACCTCTCTGGCCTCCTCTAGATCGCAGCGTTCTTCGTAACATTCCCTCTCCAAATTATCCTTCATCATCTCCTCAAACATACCTGTGTTATAGCGTTTCTGTCTCTTCAGAAGAGACCCTGCCAGATCCTTCGGCAGAAACACTGAAGCTATATACACAAAAGAGACATGTTGAAAAATCACAAACATCAAGGTCTGTTTCTAGGACACAAATAATTTAGTCTTACAAGCATTGGAGATTTGGCAAGGGAATATTATTTTACTTTGAAAGGCTTTTTATGTTGAGTTTGAACAGCTATTGAAGTCAGAGGCAAAGACAAAATGTGATTGATTTTTAGTTTCCTTTGTTTTCTCACAACACCAAACATAAAAAAAAGTCTTCTTGTGTTAACCAGTTTCTCTGTTGACTAACTCTAATTGGTTATTGCACAAGGTTTTCACATTTCAAAAGACTGCTTGTAACAAACAAATGCTCAGCCTTTGACCATTAGAACAGATTTTACATGGACCAGATCAAACTGAGATAGATTAAGACAGACGAATGCTAACTTACCTCCAGAAGAAAGCCAGGTTTCAAGCAGCAAACTGCATATCAAAATAATGGGATAAATCTTCAACATTTTCTCTATGATGATTTCCCTTCAGGCAGAAATCTTTCCCAACAGTTTAAATACCTTCATGATCAGCTCCAAAGTTCAGGACATACATGTTTACACTTCATGCAAACAGATATCTCATCTGGTGGGTGTTTCCCCCCCAGTCTGCACCTGCAGTGTTTGTGGGTTTTTGCATTTTTTATTGTATTTTTTATATATATATAGCTGATGCATTTGAAATAATTTTGTTTATGTAATGTATAGTTTCATGAGAAAACATACCATGTTTGAATAATGCATTTTGTCACACTTCATAACACAAAAGTATGGATATGTGGATTATACAATTCTTGTGGATGATTATACGTGCATGGATACCCATACACATGTCTGAGTCATTTCTGTTTTTTTATTTATTTTTGCTGAGTCAGAGAACTCTGTTCAGACTTGGGACCCAGCAAATATTGACAAGACTTGGCTGACTGGCCTCATAACAGACATCCATGGGTGTTAACATCCAAAGTTAATGCTTTTAAAATTAAAGAAACAACACCGACGTAATGTGCTAAGAACTGAGAATTGCTATTTGGCAAACAACTACAGCCTTTGAAAACATAAACTCAAAAAATCCTTGCAGGTTTGATGTTTTCCTCCAAACTTCAGTTCTCCTTTAGTGTTTCATGGTGAATAAGCCAACATAAGTTTCCCATGAGAAGCTACGTGAATTTCATTTAAGGAACATGTCAGATGTAGTTTAAGATTTAAAATATTTACAGTGCTCATATCCAACACGACAACTCAACTTGAAAAAATAAAAAAAATGTAATAAATTTGCTTCATCGTTTTTATGTAACAAGATGTGTGACTTCTCTGTGGCAGTCAAACAGGAAGTTTAAACTACATTAATGCTGCTCTTGGATGGAATGAAGTGGAAATTACAATGACTTTCAGTGGGCCAATTAGTCAACAATTTCTATGGCATTTCTATGTAGGGATTCATCTTGCTCAGACAAGAGTATTTGTATGTGTATTTATATTCTAAGTTTTTAACTTATATCTGTAATAAAAAGCGACGTACTGTTGCTATGGTTACCTCCTCGGGTGAACTCGATTTCTCGGCAGAACACATTTGCAGTTGACGAAAATGTGATACCTTCGTGGTTAGTAATAAAGTAGTTAGTTAGGTAGTTACAAACAGCTATTTTTGCTAGTATAGCATAAATGACAGCGAACTAACGAGTCCATCACTTGTTGAATATTTTCGTTGAATCTTGAAATCATTGTTTAACAGATTGTCTTGCTTATGGGTATATTTTTTTCACTTACTGGCCTGTAGCTACTCTTTAAACGAAACCTAGCAAGTTCAGCTAATGCGTGACTCAGCGTAGATGTTCTACGTCATGTTTGTCACCTCGAGAGCGTTCTGATGACTGATGACGCATCAGCGGAGGGCGACGTCACGCGTCACGTGGTGAAGTTTGGGACTGGGCGAATAGTTGCGTAGCGGGTTGATACACCGCCATGTGGTCTGATTGATGTGTCAAAAAGCACATAATGAGCGCTCGAATTGAAATATTGCAAACCGAAAACTGAACGACACTGAAACAGCTTGGCAAGTGGCCTTTTACAGTTTAATTTAATCTGAAGACTGTTGTTACATTTTTTCACGCCTCGCTTTCCTGCCTTGTCTTTTGTCACATGGAACAAAGCGCGATGCGCACCTGCCAGAGAAGATAGTAACGACCAGCAAACGGTAAGGATTCAGCAACATGGAAATCCACTGTATTCAATTCATCTAATTAAACCTCTTATTCAAGTTTTTTGGTTTATTTGATGAGTGTGTTTGGAAAAACATACATAACTGGTTTATTCTGAACGCCATGCAGCCTATATTCTTTGATTTAAAATAGCCTATATGCAAAACATAATTAAAAAGACACGATACAATGGGAAACCGTCATAAACTCTGGTTCCTTTTTAAGGGGGGTTGGCCACTGTTTAATAGAAGAGCCAGTTTTAAATGATTGGACCGATTTGATGTGAGTTACCATCTGGAATTCTTCCTCAAACTGGGATCTATGAGCGGGAAAGCATTACTAAAGACGAAAGAAGATAAGGATGCAACAAAGGGTAAGACGTCACTTGCATAATTTTGCTTAAACATTTTTGCTTTCCATGTATTGATATAAATTTGGCTGTTTATGATTCTGCTAAAAGGGTGCACGATCTGGTTATGCAGACGGTTACAATGAATGGCCCGATGTGTCAAGCATCGCACGGAAAATTATTATAGACTTATTGATTCCCTCGGTGGTAGTAGCCACCGATCTATTAGGCCTCTACAGAGAGTAACTTAACATGAAATTATAAAAATATATCGGCGTTTAAGCTTATAGATAAACATAACCAACAAGTGTGATGTTTATTTTGCCATCATATTTGCGGTGGCGCGGTCACTTTAAATCTACTGTAACAGCCGAGTGCGCTTCACGAGAAGCAAAAATAGCTTTCCACTCTTCTCACACTTTACCCTAAAACAAAAGCTTTAATTAAAAAACAGTTTCTTTAGATAAAACGTGTTGATAGCAAGAAATTGATTATAAATGTATTATTTTTCTTGAGAGTGACATAGGCTCTCATAGGCGCTCTACAGTTCACGGATGTATGCTGGGTACCTATTGCCATGGAGACAAAGAGGCGGAGAGTAGCTGCTTCATTAAAAATACATAGCATGCTGTATAAAGCAGATGTATACTGTATGTCTACAGTGGTCCTTTCACTGGACATAAATTGCATAATATTTTATATAAGGTCAACAAACAAAGTACACGCCTGGTTTTTAGTAATATGTTCTAATTGTAGTGTGGTTTGGTCATAAGTAATATAGCTGTCCATGCACCCTGAGAGGGAGCTATGAATGGTTGTGCAGAGGATTAGGTTTGATTAAGTTGTTACAGGAAAAACTCATTAAAGTTTATTAAGTTATGGAAAAGTGAGGAACAATCTACACATCTACACTGAGGCCATGTTAAATGAGTGGTCATTAAAAAGACACAGATTTCATTATATTTAATAGACCTGTGGGGATTCAGTTTAAACAAGAGATTAAGCTTCTTTGGAGTTTTAATTGAACACACTGTTCATTTAGAACACCTTCATTAAGTGTTTAATTCTGGTCACTGTACGCACCACTGTATGTCCATGTTTTTATAATAGTGTCCTTCAAAGATACATCATACGCTGTGATGTTGATACTAATACAATTAATTTTTCATGTTGAAGCCTAAATGATTTATGCTTTGTAACCTCATAAAAGTGTCAGTGACAAAAATTCATCATATGTAGGCTAATGCTTCACACCACATATGTAAACATGACTCCTCCAGAATAATCTTAATATGTGGCTATAGATTAGATATAATACAAAAAAGTAACAAATATATATATACAGTACACAAAAATACCAGGTAGGCCTATGTTAAAAAAATGTAATTAAAAAATATATATAATAAACGATTTGACTAGTTTATATAAACTTGACTGTCTTAGAAAGTCTAATACTTATATTTGTTTCTGTGCTCAGCTTAGTCATTAATTCGTTTATATTTTTCATGACAGTTAATACTAATACTGTTGTAGAAATAGCGAAGAATGTAGTGTAGATTTCACTAAATACATAGCTTTACCACCAGATGTCAGTATCATCTTTCTAGTCTCTCTCTTTGTTTTTAATGGCTTTCGGACTCCCACTGTAAATGTGTGTGTGTGTGTGTGTGTATACGTGCACGCTCGCACGAGTCAGTATATCGTGTAAAAATTATGTCTAGGCTATATTAAGTCATACCATATTTTTCCTAATATTTGTTGTTCTGTCATTATGTTTAAGTATACACTGTTCAAGATGGCAAGGAGTACATTCTGTTGGGGACGGAGTCAACTCAGTCGCTTGCTGTAGATAGGAAAGAAAACTCATCTTTTCATAGTAAATGTCAGGAGCTCTTTTGCTGTCCATTGTGGAAACTCTTCGTTTTAAAGAAAAAAGAAAATACTGAATGTTTGTCGAGATGAGAAGGTTATCAGTTCTGCCTGACGAGCACTTTGTAATTTCACATAAGAATGTTTTATAAGCAAAGACTATTGACGTTCTTTTTTTTAATCATCAACACCGTACTAACACACCGGAAATAACATGCGTTGTAAATGTTTTATATGGACACTTCTCACAGCCTGTGATGACCCGTTTCCACAACTGTTAAAAACATCACAAATCTAGTAAGGATTTTTTTTTAATATACATGTATAACTACTGTTTTACCTTGGCATTAACTATCGCTGCTGTGAGAGTTTCTATGGCTCAGGGAGTGGCGGCAAATTTGAAATCTTGATCTCTTCTGGCCAACGTAAACAATCTCCGGATAGTTTTTCCTTCTTTTGTAAACTCATAGAAACGCTGTCGGTATTCCTTTTTGCAAATGTGGATACAAAAATTATATTTCTTGTAGTTTACATTCACCATAAAAGTTTACCAAGCGTCGGCGTTTGAGAAACCCGGAAATGTGAAAAGTGTCCACTGCAACACATGCTATTTAATTTGCACAAGCTGTTATGCATTTTAATGAACTGAATAGAAATGGAATTATCAGTATACGCCTTCACGTCTGGACCCGCACATGTTATTGTTACTCCTGCATGTATACACTGACTGTATTTCAAACTCAAGTCTGTTTTATTGCGCACTTCAGGAACGCTTGAGCAAACGACTAGGGATATGCAAAGACGGTTCACTCTATGAATGGGAGAAAATGCAATGCGCATGCGCAACAAGGTGGAATAAGTCCCGCATTCTAAATCAAAGAGCCAATCGCTGATCGGTAAAGTCATTGCGTCACTGCAGCTGCAGTTAGAAGCTCTGGTTATGACCGCACTGCGCAGCTTCGCGCTTATGACGCCGAGTGAACAGACTTTCCTTGAAAGGGACTTTGGATGAGCCCACAATCTAAAAAATGCTGGGTTAAAAAGGGACAAACCCAGCTATCCACAATCTAAAAAATGCTGGGTTAAATATAACCCAGCGCTGGGTTAAAAAGGGACAGACCCAGCGGTTGGGTTGTTTTGAAACGCTGGGCTGGGTCAAAACAACCCAATAGCTGGGTTTGTTTTGAGCGCAATGTTCCCTCTGAGCCCATTTCACATCTTTTAGCGCCATCTAGTGCTGCTCCTTGAGATCAGCGCTGGTATAAAAAGGGAAAAACCCGGTGATCCAAAAACAAAAAAGTGCTGGGTTAAAAAGGGACAGACCCAGCGGTTGGGTTGTTTTGAACCCAACCGCTGGGTCAAAACAACCCAATAGCTGGGTTTGTTTTGAGCGCAATGTTCCCTCTGAGCCCATTTCACATCTTTTAGCGCCATCTAGTGCTGCTCCTTGAGATCAGCTTCAGGGTGGGGTTGTTGTTTTTACTCGAAAGGTGTCTGAAAACAGAAACATAAAACTAAAGTATTTTCTAACTGTTTAGGTTAAATAGTCTTACGTTTAGCCAAATTAAATCTGTTTTGATCATATATATCAGGGGTGGCGAAAGTCGGTCCTGGAGAGCCGCAGCCCTGCAGAGTTTTGCTTCAACCCTAATCAAACACACCTTTACAAGCTAATCAAGGTCTGAACGGTTACTAGGAAGCTACAGGCAGGTGAGTTTTAATTAGGGTTGGAGCTGAAGTCTGCAGGGCTGCGGCTCTCCAGGACCGGAGTTTGCCACCCCTGATATATACAGTAGATATACGTTGTTTGAATTATCCAAAATCTTCAGTTAATTGTTAATTGTTGGGGAAGTCGTGGCCTAATGGTTAGAGAGTCGGACTTGTAACCCAAGGTTCGAGTCTCGTTCCGGCAGGGATTGTAGGTGGGGGGAGTGAATGTACAGCGCTCTCTTCCACCTTCAATACCACGACTGAGTCACCACATGTCACTTCACTTTAATGGGTATTGTGCTTGTGTTCAACAGTCAGTCACTAAAATAAAAGTGATTTTTTTATATTTTGTGACTCCATCTTTTCTCATCATTACAAGATTTTAGATAGTTGAAGTTCCATAAACCATGGTTTAATAGCCCTAATAAATTATATCAAGACTTTTTAATTATATTATTGCCTGGCTAATTCAATTCAGTTCTCAACAAAGGCAATATATTTGTTAATAGCAACATAGAGAATATAGAAGATAAAAAGTGCTCCAGCTCAGGGTCCCTTATGTGTAAAGACGTCAAGAATTGATAGAAGTCACAGTCGCTAGAGATTTGATGTGAATGATTAATATAGAGACTGCAAAAGCAACAGTAATATAGAGACGGCAAAAGCAACAGGATTACATAAAACACTTGCATATGACAGCGACTTTGATATGATCTTAAACTCACATTAGATTAGTTGCATTGGATGAGCAGTAAAATATGCTTGGTTGTGTCACATGTTGGCCCAACACATAACAGATAGGAGGGCCAGACTAATTTGATTCCCCCTGTCTGAGAAAAAACCCTGTTTCCTCATTACGCTAGTATCTCATTAGTCTCTCTCTGAACATGTAGCTGCCTGGTTCGCTCTGCTTTTCTGGACTGTTCCTAAATTGCATGGTTTTCAGAGCTTGTAAACCGGACAGATCTCTGACACTTTTATTACCAAGAATAATATTTAGAAGCAGGACTTTTTATCCTAATGGGTTTTATTTATTGCCCTGTTATTTTTCATGATGCTGCCTTGGCAACACTAACACTGTAATCTGTTATTGACTATAAGCTGGATATATCGAGCATATACTTTTAAGTAAATCTTCAGGTTTGTGATTAGGATTCATTTATCTCAACAAAGGTTTGAGAGTGTTTGCTCTCTCTACTCTCTTCTCTCTTCAGCTTCTTGCTGTGAATGACCCTGAAGAGAATTTTTAGATTTGGCAGTATCACAGATGCATCTAATGAATCATTGATAAGGTGCCCTAAGCTCATAGTGGTTTGTCAATAATAGCCGATAATGATCTGCTATGATCACCGGGCTGTGATCTTTTAATGGACAGAATACTCATGAGAATTAGTTGAAAGTTCGCAACGCCCTTTTTCTTGCTTTGCACACTGTGAAGAAATGTGAAAGAATTAAAGCCTTCTCTGGATGCCTCTGAGAGTAGCATGGCGTTTCCCTTGAGAAGATCTGTATCAGGTACACTTTTAGATAAGGGCTTTCTTAATAGGAGTTAGACAAATGAATGAGGTATAGACATTTCTAAGCTGATGATGGCATGTTTGAGCGGTTGAATGGCTTTGTTAGTAATTAATAGAAAGGTGTTTAGTGCTGTCCGTGGTGCTGAAATTCACCAGTGCAACTAAAATTCATCTTAAGTGGGTCACAAGATTTTTCTAGTTGTTTCCTCAAAGGACAATCTGAGTTTTAAAAAAACAAACAGATTTGAAATATATATTTGCTTATATATATATTTTTTATATATATATTTCCGCTGTGTTCTTAGTTAGCACCACCCATAAAAATGTTTTGTCAGGTAATCTAAATAATGTGCTTGATGTGGTAACATCTAAATTAACTGGTTTTGGATTGAGCATTCAGTGAAAAATATTATTTATATAAAATAAAAATATTATTTATTCAGTGAAAAAT